TTTGGCCGATGAGGGGTTAAATCGCGCCGCATCCGAAAACATTCAGAGCGCGCATGCTGGTGTCACGTGATCAAAGTTAAAACCTACGATGCACACAGCCAAACACGGTGAAATCGCTCTAAATCGCTCTAAATCACAATCAAAACAAGTGAAACTATCATAAAGTCTAGATTTGGTTTGGTATTATAGCTTCAGGAACACATACATAAAGTAAAGTGAAAGGAATAGTACACATACTACATTAATCTAAGTAATGAAACAGATGACAATATTTACATAAACTCACATTCTCATGGACGCATGAAGCAGAACTGAAGAATATGATATTTCCCTCAAGATTTACAGGATCGGAGATGGAGCGAGTGTCTCCGATGAACGTTACATGTACAATGATAACAGTCAGCGGTTGCGCTAATGGAGACTGTCTGATTGGTGGAGAAACGAAAGGGAATTGCTGATTGGTCTAACTGTTGCTGGGCACGTATAAAGTTAAAGTGACACTACAGTAAACTAAATAATAACTTATAATAACACAAACACAAATTAAATTCAGAACCTTATTAACAGTAATACTAGCATGTTCAGTCGTGTAAGTGGGATCGTAAGTGCATTTGTCGCCATTCATGTGACACTCTCCTAGAGTTATCCTTCCCATCCAGATCCAATTCTAAACCACATCTTTAAATTATTACTTGAAGTTAACATTATAAAATACGTATAGACCTAAACCACAAAACTAGTTGAGGATAAATTATTTAAAATTGGTCAATTTCAGCGTTACGGACGTGACATTTGCTGTAAAAACTTGAAATATAAATTGTCAGAAAATGCATTTAATACCAATATATTAAAACTTGTTTATATATCCATACTCCCTTAATAAAGGAGTCTGGACATTAGAAAAATATAAGTTTTATATTTAAAGGTGCAATGTGTAACAAAGTTGAGTATCTATTAACAGAAATGCAATATGACATCCATAACTATGTTTTCAGTGGTGTATAAAGAACTTACTTAATTAGCCGTAATGTTTTTATTACCTTAGAATGAGACATTAATAGCTCCATAACCGCGGGAATCCCCTTCTATGAAGGTCGCCATGTTGTGACGTCATATTCCTACCGTAGCCGAACGCGAACAAACAGCTCTACAGAACGCGTTTCATCACTACCTTGAAAGAGAAGTAGCGGAAAGCTGGAAGCTAGCCTTACACTCCGTGAGTAGTGACTTTTCCCTTGTGAGTGGTGTAAAATATGTAGTTGGGATTGTTTCATGTAACTTAGTTCTCCCTCGCTGTGTTATGGGTTTGTTATGTGAGGATAGATGTGCTGTTACGTTCGTGAGACAGCTGATGATTAGTATTCATGTCATTGACCGTAAAACAGTAACGTACGTTACAGGAATCACTAACCCGTCGATAGAGACTTTTACTAAAGTCTTTTATCACTAAAGTCGATCGCGAAGAGTTTTCAAAATCAGAGAAAAAAAGCCTATTGTGTATAGTAAATAGTATCTATGGGATGCGGAGATGACATGATTGTAACAGCGCGCAGTTCCGACCTTTGGACTCATGCAGACGCGTCCCAGCTCAGCCACAGTAACAGCTCATATTAGCCAGCTAAACTATTACTACCCTGTTAGAAAAAATATATAGCTGCTCCCTCGCTGTATTATGGGTTTGCTACAGTATGTGGGGAGAAATGTGCTGCTGGTTACGTTTGTGAGACAATCAGCTGATTAATATTATTTTATTAAATTATATATTAAAACCCTTGATCCTCACCTGACTATGGCTTTGTAAACAGTATTAATGATGTGGTTTATAATGGACTGAGGTACAGAAACAGTGACAATGTTACACACTCTTGGCTTACTCTGGCTATTCTCTGCTGTCTCAGCCGACGAGATGTTTGTCCCGTTTTAGCAACCGTAGCTTCTTCGAAAGGGAGGGGTGAGCAGTGGGCTGAGCCCTTAGTGCAAACCTGGTGCAAACTCGCAACCGAACCACTAGATGTCGCTAAAAATCACACATTGCTCCTTTAATATGACATGAGGGAAATACACATGCGTTACGGACGTGACACAAAACTTCTTTGATTTTTAGGTGGCAAAATATTGTTATAGTTGGTTCTGTGAATTACAATGCACAAACCAAAAGTAATACTACCCACCGGATGGAGAAGGGTTGGTTCCCCAGAACATAAATTATTCATTTCGCATTTATGTGGAAAAAACAACGTTACGGACGTGACAGTTCTGGAAGCGGCACTAAAACTTTCACAGAGACCTCAGACAGAAAGCACAAAGCATTTCTTTAAAGTGAATTTCGTTTTGTATTAATTGTGTATTCATTTTAATTAATGTTTCATCATCCAATTACCTGGATTTAATAAATAAGTAAATATAGCAGACATTAGATAATCAGGAAACGGAGGAACGGAGCTGGACTGGAGCTCGTCTCATAAATGAACCGAAAATCAGCCTGAGGTATCCTACTGAGCTCACAGACCTGAGAAATATCTATATTAAAGAGTAACTAAACACTAAACCAACTTTTTTTAGTTAATGATCTGTAAGAATGGATCTTTATTAATACCAGTCATTGATTCGAGTAACTTTTTTGACATTTGTCTATAAAGTGTTTTATTTCTACAATATATGGTGTAAAAACGTCTTAGTGCTGCCCTCTTCAGGTTGAACGTTGGCTACTGCAGTTGAATTTTCCTATTGGATGTTCCGCACTTCGTGACGCACCCAGGTTTCAGCTCACCACGCTCCTGGCACTAGCGGCAGTATAAAAACCAACCAGCTTGTTTCGTCAAAACCACTTTTTTGAGTCAGGAGTTGGAATTGCAAGCATTGAAAACGATCAGGATAGAGTGTTTTAGCATCTATTTCGTCCCCTCTATCTCCGCTGGGGTCAGCCCAGTTTTTCAGCATTTTTCAAATATTGCCAGTGGGTGGAGTCAGGCTCTGACCAGGGGTTTAGTTACCCTTTAAAATGTCTACTTTTAAACAGAACAATTCAAAACTGCTTTTTGCTTATGTAATCCGTATGAAAAGTGCATTTCAATCACACCAGGATATATTATACTGTATATATTTTTAAAAAGTGTTAGCCCACGGATACATTTATGAGGGTTTATTTAATATATTGCAATCAACAAATGATAACAATTAATAAAAGCCACAGTTTTAAAGCCTCTCAAGGCGCAATTTACTTTACTTGTACTTTATATACTGTAGGCATACACAAAGTGAATGCCTGCAATCATTCAGTCAGTGACGAATTAATAAAAACATTATGAACTTAACGAAACGATGCGCAATTGTAGTTGAAGTTCGTGCTGAAACTTATCTTTTCATTACCTATTTTTAAATAATCCATTAAACCTGCTGAGAAACGAGGAGCGAACTAGAATGAGCAGTTCCACGTGCATGCCTGGTAAACTCATGAATATTAATTTAGGCTCCGCCCACTGCCTCTACAGCTGCACTACTCACTTTTGCACTTCAGTTCACGGTGCACTTGGTGCAAAAGGGAGAAACTTGTCACTTGAAAGGGAAAAACAGTGTTTGAGATTCGTCGCAGCAGATTCAAGCAGCTGTAGATATGAACTTGTGTTTGTACTAGAAAAATATACAAGACTTTGTGAGAAAATATTCCACAAGCGTGCAACTGATACTGATTTGCGGATGAGCAAAATTTCTCTGTGACTTTTTTTAAATGCGTTTTGGACCATGTTCACTGCAGCAACTGTAGCAAAAATGTGAGCTCAATAGTTTCTTAATTTGTGATTTGTAGAATAGAATTTGTGCACCTGCGATGAAGAATTTGAGAAGGTGTAACTGTTGTGTTGTGGAAGATAAAAAAGTCTACAAGTTTGCAACTCTTAAAACAGTTCTCTCTGTGACTTCAAATTTACTGATACACATGTGTGGATATTGTCTACAACTACAAATTTCACTGTCACAGGCTTCAGTTGTTTTGAACCAAAATATCTCCATCTCCTGTTAATCTAATCCAGCCAAACACGCTTCAAGGGTATGAACACACAGTAACTCACCCTTTCATCCTCCTCCAATGATGATCTGATCTGAATTCAACATAGAATCTCCAGTGATGGACAGCATTCTCTTAGATTATATGATCATGTGAACACATATATTTATATTAAACGCAGTAACTTCAAAATGAACATTCTGTCATCATTTACTCAATCCAGTAGCAGTTCTACATTGAATTACACCCCGTGCGAGACCCCCTTCAAGTACAAGTACAAGTACCAGGATTTTTTTTTTTTTAATCCCTGTGCCGCCCTCCATGTGTCAGGAAAAAATGCCGCCCCGGGCCAGAAAACGCTACCGACTCAATCTCAAGTTGTTTCAAACTTGAATGAATCTCTCTCCTTTGCTGACCTTAAAAGAAGATATTTTGAAGAATGTCTGTATTTTTTTATACTATCAATGAAGCCCATCTACTGTTTGATTACCAACATTCTTTAAAATATCTTCCTTTGTGTTCAGCAGAAGAAAGACATTCATACAGGTTTGGAACAACTTGAGGGCGAGTAAATGATGACAGAATGTTCATTTTGAAGTGAACTGTTCCTTTAAGAGCTCTTGACCCACTTAAAGGGAAATTGTCAACATTTACTCACCCTCAAGTTGTTCCAAACCTGTATGAACACAAAATATGATATTATGAAGAATATGGGTAACAAAACAGTTGATGGACCCCATTGATTTCCATAGTTTGGAAAAAAAGAGTCCTGTTCCATTAAATGAAAGCAGACATTTAGAAACAAATACCAAAACCAAATGTTACCACAAGATGTCACTGCCGCCTGTCACAGGGAGCATGAAGCTAAAACTAATCATACAGGTTACAGGAAGATGGGATTACAAAATGAAAGATATTTCAGTCAGGAATAAAAACATAAAACAGGAATATAACTGCAACCCACGTGACAGATATGCCTTTACCTGTCTGTCCCCAGGTCCGAGCGGGACAAACATCATCATTGGCTCCATAGCAGGAGCGATACTGCTGGCAGCTATAGTACTGGGAGGAACGGGCTGGGGCTTCAAGTAAGGCACATCCACAACAAACTGTTCAAGTAGCATTTTCCTCATTCCTCATGATTTATGCTTTATTAATATATGGCTTTTAGAAAATTAAAGGATTGTCCTATCACTGAAAATAGACTTCAATAATGATTTTAAAGGGGTCATAAGATCAGTTTGTGCATTTATAAGATCTTACAAAGCTTGTAGTCTCCCACAGAACATTTAAACACTGATCCAGACCTGCAATAATGTACAGTATGTGTTTTTTGAACATTAAAACATGCAACCATATTCTGTTAATAGCATCTTGTGACCCCTTTTAATTATCTTGACTGCTTGTCTTATTTTCATGGTAAATGCAGCTCAGTGTTGTAATGTGACAAAGTCACAGTCTTATTCTCTCTCTGTTTTGTTTCTTGACTACAGAAATATCAGAAGAGGAAGGTATGAACCCGCCCAACAAGACATGTGATATCATACACCCATCCACCTAGCATATATCACACCAGCTGTTTTTTTCACATCTTGGTTTCTCCATTTAGTTTCTGTTTTTATTTCATTTTTTAAAAAGAAAGATATAGAGAAACGTGGTCCCACTTTATATTAAGTGTCTTTACCATTTAAATGAAAAATTTGAGATAATGGGATTATCGTGTACATACGATTTTACTTATATTTTTAAATGACCTCCATATAATTACACCTGTCATTATTTCTGCAATTACAATGTCAACACCTTAACCTAATACCACCAAACCTGTCTGTAACCTTACCCGTATCCAGAGGCAGACAGAGTACACAGCTTTGAGTAAAAGTACAGATACCACTTGTTAAATTTTAAGTACAAGTACAAGTAAAAGTACTACAATCAGATATATACTTAAGTACTTGTTTTTAAAAGTGTACAAGAGTACAATTTTCTAAATATTGCATTAGTACTGCCACAGTGCTTACTTTTATGTACAAAAACGTCCTACATGGAGTTATGCAAAATGTTAATGTTAATACCTTGGAGAATGTAAAAGGATTTGAAAGTAAAATCAAGTCATTTGCATCTTTTTACCATGTTGCTTTATTTAACATTTAAGAAAATTTCAGAAAATTGAAATAGTCTGTTGAGGTGGGGCCACGGGTCGGCACATTCCCGGGATGGACCTTCGTTCATGGTTCCGTCAGTTATCTAAATCTGACCATTGAGTTGACTTTGGCGGAAAGCTGAAGGTGATTGCTGATAGGCTGTCCCAATCAGTGGCGCCTGCACAATCCAATCACGTTTGAGAGGGAAACAACAAATCGAGGGTTTCCGAGATTTGCCTTTTTTTTTTTTTTTTTTTTTTTCTTTTTTTTTTTTTTAGTAGTAACGGGTACTCACACTTATGGATAGAAATGTAGTGGAGTAAAGAGTACAAAATTTCCCTCTCAAATGTACTTGAGTAAAGTCATGAGTAGCTACTCCCCAAAAATGACACTCGAGTAAAGTACAGAAAATCCCTCAAAATTGTACTAAAGTACTGTACTCAAGTAAATGTACTCCGTTACTGTCCAGCTCGATAGCAGTGAAAGTGTTTTGAACACTGTAAGTCGTTGCTCTTAATATAAAATGTTGTATGTAAATACATAGCACTTAAAGACACCTAATGCAAAAGTGTGACCAACAATATTTGCAATCCTTTTTTACATATTCATATCAATATACCAATTAATAAACACCACATTTATTAACAAATTCCATAATGCAGACATCATTGAATTACCAATACAGAAACAATCCCGTAACCTCACAAAACAAATATATTTGAGCTATGAACAATAAATGACCCTTGACGTTTTCATCATATAATTGCTTCAGTAACTTTGAAAGTATTTGAAGTTACTCGTGTGGTCTTCATTTAGGCAAATAAAGAATATAAACGACAATACATAGTGAATTGTATCATTTAACAATTGTATCATTCTTTCTCTTCCTGTTTTCCTTCTTTTCTGTGTCTATTCTCCAGATCTGGAGGGGGATAAAGCATGTCATCTGCTCTCCTGTGCTTCTGCACTGTGTTCTTTTAAACTTTGAGGGAAACAGAAGAAACTGCCAATGTCTTCCACTCTCTCTCCAAACTCCCTTCTGTCACTTCCACTTCCTGTTACTGCCTGTCACCTGTTGCCTCGAAACACTCCAGTACATCCCATGGTAACATTCTTTAACTGACCTCTAACAAGATGTTAGTTGTTAGTAATCATTTTGGTCTTTTAAGTCATAATTTGCTCACCCTTATGTTGTTTTGAACACATGACTTTCTTTCTTTCTTTTGCGGAGCACAAAAAGAGATTTTGAGCAGAAATGTCACATTGTTGAGGTCCAGAAACGGACCAAAAAGTACCATAGAGATTGCTTGTGCGCTATATGCACATATATTACTGCATATTCAAACATGGCGCCTCGTGACGCATCACTTTAGGTCAATAGTCAGAATTATCAGTACAAAAACAAAATGATTAGACATTTTTATGTATTATACTGGTCCTAATCAGCGAGCTGCCACAATAATCGAAACCAACTCTGAGAAGCCGTGACTTTTCAAGTTGTTTCATGCGGATAGACAGATTCTTCCCCAAACATTTTGGAAAAAATCTCTAAATATGTATGGATTTCCCAGTAGAAATCTACCTAAAATAACGTAATGTCTGCTTGCATTCCATGTTTACCCTCATGCGAGTCTAATATCTATACTCTTGCTGCTTTTAATATCATCCATAATAGTTAAAAAACATGCATAACCATATGAATGTACTTTTATGTAACAAAAAATAAGGCATTGCTTGTATGAATTTAATGTAGTTGGTTATATACTTTTCATAAGCACATAGCTGAGTGAGGCAAGGCCAGGTCATTTTAGTAAAATATGTATTATGTATAATTTGTAAATCTTATAAGAGGAACACTGAGCTGAGGATACATATGTATGTATATAATGTACTGTATATGACAGCAGTATTTTGCCCGTCTGCTGCAAAAATAACACTGTCAGATAAAAGCACAAACAAATTTATAGGGGTCGAGAATGAAGATGACATTGATACCGATGGGCAAAAACACAATCGTCAAAGTCATTTTTCCAATCATTTTTATGTTACAATCGTGTCCACTATATAGTATAAAGAAAGGTGCACTAAGTAACTTTGTTTTTCTGTTCTGTTTTTTAGACTGTGTGGAGCAAGGTTAGAACACTTTACATGTTCAAATTATTAATTTTATTTTTTTAAGTACTTTTAGTTACTAGTTTTGATAAATATTTGTACTTTTATTTTAGTTTTTTATTTTATTTTATGGACATACAGTACTTCAGTTTCAAACTGAAGAAAACAAGCGAGACTTTAGAGGAAAGAAGCATTTGTATTTACTATAAATCATTAAAAAAAAAAACATATGCTCCATGCTGCTTATTGATTCTCGCGCTGAGCCAGCAGAAAAGATGAAGGGCGGCTGTGCGTTTACACACAAAAGGTGCAGAGTCAGACTGGATCATTTCTTCTCTCTTGTACGTTTTCATGTTGCCATTGTGTACACAATGAAATATCAAGCTCACAAATTGTAGCCTACTGGACATTACATTAGTTTTCTTGATAATTTTCCATCCTGTTAGACTTTATGATATCAAAATCCAGTTCTTAAAGGGGTCATGAACTGGCTTTTTATTTTTTTTTTATATTGTTGTCTGAGGTCAACTTATGACGTCTGCTTGGTTTTTGTATAGAGAGCCTAAGTCCTGCCCCTCCGCTTCCGGCTCATGGGACCTTATTTCGGAAAAAAAATATGAATGGTAGTCAATGGCGAGAGACAACTTATCTTTTTATTCCGTCTGAACTGTGCCCTTAATTACACATATGATGTTTGTCAATTTAAAAGATAATTCTCAAAAACGTCAAAAACGTCGCAGTTTGTCATACAACAGAAGAGTAACATTTAGTTTTATGTGAAATTCGCTCTATGAACTACATCTCCAGGGAAGTGAGATCTGCTGCTCGTGTGTGTGCAGTCTGGTACAAAACACTCAAGTATGACGGTGTAACGTTACGATTATAACGTAAGACTAGAAACAATGACAGACAATAGCCTCAGTAAAGTTAACTTCATTCATTGGGAGAAAATGTGCGCCTTTGGGGTTTGTAGTCTTTGTAATTACGTATTTTCACAATCTTATACCTCAATGGTTTTACATCAAACTGCGACTTTCTTTACTTTAAAATGTATCTTTTAAATTGATAAACATCATATGTGTAATTCAGGGCACAATTCAAATGAGATCAAAATATTTGTTGTCTCTCGCCATTGACTACCATTCAATATTTTTCCGAAATAAGGTCCCATGGTGGTCGACCGGCTCTGTATTCAAAAAACATCAAAATGAATAAGTAATAGGCTATTTAGTACTCAAGTTTTGACCCTACCTGAAAAACGCTCAGTTTTTATCTAAGACTTGGAAGTAAACGCCCACTGCTTTGAGTGGATAACAGTTTTGCATATTAAAATGAGTTTCAACTCACCTGTCGATGCACTTAGGGGAAATTGTTTTGAAAACGTCCAATGTTGTAAAATGGCAACCGGAATGATTCGACCCAAAGTCCGTGTGTTGCATAATTCCTGTCAGATCCAATATAGACGGCACAGCAGCACGTTCTTTACTCTTAATCGGTCTGCAAATCCAGTCTTGTTTACAGGACAATCCTCAGTGAAATGAAGCGAACAGACGGCAATGTTTTACCCTCATCAGCTGGAACGTCATTAAAAATCAAGTTTATCCATGCAGTCCTATTGGAATACAGAGGAAGCTTATGCAGCGACTGTCTTCATCAGGCGCTGCACAATATTCTGTATTGCTCGGTAGCTCGATCCGGTTTGTCATCACGAGGTAGGCATCTATGTTATTTAGCCATGCGTGTAATGCGCAAATCGGAGGGCGGGGCTAAACAGGCCGTGTTGAAGTAGACGTTGATCTCCTGTTTTATCCTCTTTGAGGTCATAGTTCCCCACTTTGAAAAACGAGTCGTTTTTAGAGGCTGTGTCAATAAAAGCTTTTATTGGACTAACAAGGACGTTTTCAGTTCTGAAACTTACAGGATATACTTATAATATGATGACCTCTTAGATGTCAAAAGCTCAAGGAAAATTTGATTTCTCAGTTCATCACCCCTTTAAATGACATCATCCTTCAGTACGTATAGAGTGCCGAAGTTATGACGTCACTTTGTAGGCCGACGCGTGCGGAAGTGAGTTAGCGTTTTACCACTTCCGGTTCCTTCGCCCTAAAGTCTATGGGTTTTTTGAGCCCGTTCTCATCCCAAAGCGCCATATAGGACGCTTTTGCAAAAGCGTAAATATCCAACGCACATGGCACCCTTTAACGTGAAATGAGACGCTTCGGTTAATGGTTAAGTTTAGGTAAGGTGTGGGGTAAGGGTTAGACCACTAGGGGGCGCCATCTGCCCAAATATATCTGCGTCTCATTAGACGTTAAAGGGTGCCATGTGCGTTGGATATTTACGCTTTTGCAAAAGCGTCCTATATGGCGCTTTGGGATGAGAACGCGTTGGTTTTTTGAATGGGTTTTTGCTAAATCGCCTGAAATAAGGTCTGTGTGAATAACAAAGCCTCTAAATGTTTTCACGTTTTGATTTATGACATAAAACACACCAGTCATAACCTGCTTGTGGTTTTTTAAACTTTATATAGGCTTCAAAATGTATACATTTTGGATTAACTTGTAAAAAGATCTTGATGGACAAAACGTGTAAGGGTCACAACTCTTTGTTGAACACAGATCTTATTTTTTGCGATTTTCCAAAAGTCTATGGGGAAAATGCATCCCAGTTGTCCTACAAAGTGACGTTGTAACTTCGCCACTCTATTTGCAATGGATTTGATGATGCGATACTCTTAGAAAAAAGCTTCAGTGGGGTTCATGACAGAATTTTAAAGAATGCTCGGTTACACTGTATTTTAAGGTGCAAGTGTAATTGCAAATAAGTACCGAGTAATATTAATTAACACCATGTAATTAGGGTTAGTTTCTCATAATTATATATAATGTAACGTTATTACTATGTTATTACAAGATGTGTAACAGGGACACCGTCAAGAAAAGTACGGAATGCTTTATGCCAAAAAAGGTTCTATATAAGGACAAATGTCTTAATACTTTCATGTTTAAAAAGTTATTTTATCTTTTTCAAAGGGTTTAGAAGCTGCTTAATTCAAAAGTGAATTAAAACTAAATCCATAAAATGATCCCCCTGACAGAACCGCTTGAAGGATAACTAAACCCCTGGTCAGAGCCTGACTCCACCCACTGGCAATATTTGAAAAATGCTGAAAAAGTGGGCTGACCCCAGCGGAGATAGAGGGGACGAAATAGATGCTAAAACTCTCTATCCTGATCGTTTTCAATACTCACAATTCCAATTCCTGAATCCTTACAGTGGTTTTGACGACACAAGATGGTTTTTATACTGCCAAGGGCGTAGCTCGCATGGTGAGCTGAAACCTTTGTACGTCACGAAGTGCGGAACATCCAGTAGGAAAATTCAACTGCAGTAGCCACTGTTCAACCTGTTCAGCCGTTTTTACACCATATATCGTAGAAATAGAACACTTTATAGACAAATGTCAAAAACGTTACTTGAATCTACGGAGGCGTATTGCATTCACTTGAAGAAAAAAATCTACTCTGTTTTTCTGAATTAATGAGTTAATTTTTCATGAGAAAAAAATTTTTTTCTCTGTTTTTCTGAATTAATGAGTTAATTTTTCATGAGAATTTTTTTCTGCTCTGTTTTTTCTGAATTAATGAGTTAATTTTTCATGAGAAAAAAAGTTGTTCTCTGTTTTTCTGAATTAATGAGTTAATTTTTCATGAGAAAATATTTTTTCTCTGTTTTTCTGAATTAATGAGTTAATTTTTCATGAGAAAATATTTTTTTCTCTGTTTTTCTGAATTAATGAGTTAATTTTTCGTGAGAAAAAAAGTTTTTGCTCTGTTTTTTCTCAATTAACTCGTTAATTCAGAAAAACAGAGAAAAAAATTCCAATGAAAAATTAACTCGTTAATTCAGAAAAACAGAGAAAAAAAAATTCCAATGAAAAATTAACTCGTTAATTCAGAAAAACAGAGCAAAAAAAAAAAAACTCCATGAAAAATTAACTCATTAATTCAGAAAAACAGAGCAAAATATTTTTTTTCTCATGAAAAATTAAATCATTAATTCAGAAAAACAGAGCAAAAAAAAAATAAAAAATCCATGAAAAATTAACTCGTTAATTCAGAAAAACAGAGCAAAAACTTTTTTTCTCATGAAAAATTAACTCATTAATTCAGAAAAACAGAGCAATTTTTTTTTTCTCATGAAAAATGAACTTGTTAATTCAGAAAAACAGAGTAGATTTTTTTTTCTTCAAGTGAATGCAATACGCCTCCGTATGAATCAATGACTGGTAGGCTATTAAAAAAGATCCATTCTTACAGATCATTAACTAAAAAAAGTTGGTTTAGTGTTTAGTTACTGTTAGGTTCTTTAAATGAAGCGCCTGACAGAACCCTTTCTTCTAAGAGTGTGTTGTAACTCAGTTTCATTCTGAAAATCTATATGATGATAACAATTTAGTAGATGTATAATCTAACTTTTTAAAACCCTCTTATAAGCTAACCTACACAGTGTCTCTCAGCTTTGTCAAGAACTTTATTTCTAACTTGTCAGGCATCATGGAGACCTGTTCATTGTGTAAATAATCAAGCTTTGCTGAGTAATGTTTAAGAGACTGAGAGAGATCAGAACATATTTGTAGAAGAGTCTCATATACTTTATTATAGAACTACTTCCTTAAATTACAACTTAAGCATTTTTAAAAGATTTAAAAGTACTGTAAAAGAGGTATGAGTCAGTTACTGAATAATACACAGTGGATACTTTACAGTGATCACAGGAATTTGGGTGCTTTTCCATAAAAACATGCTTGCAAATACTGTATCATTTCAATCAAGTAACAATTAGCAATATTTCTTTTTCAGACTAAACGTTTGCTCGTATTTTCCTGTGCCTTCAAAAACACTTCATAATCAAAGTTGCATTCGCCAATGATCAGCCTGTTTCCAAACGTGATCTGATATGAACAAACAGTATTAAATTAAAGACATGTATACATGAAGAGTTCAGATGCAAAAGCCTCTAAATGCCATTTGAAATTTTCTTCTTTAATGATGATTTTTTATCAAACTTGTATATTTAAGTTCAGTGATTTCACTTAAATGGCAATGAAGATTACCTATTAATTGTTATTTAAGTGAAATTACTGAACTTAAATATACAAGTTTGATAAAAATCATCATTAAAGAAGAAAATTTCAAATGGCATTTAGAGGCTTTTGCATCTGAACTCTTCACATTTATAAAAGTCTTTAATGATCTGATTATGTAAATATATTGGGTCCTTTAAAAACACAATCACATCTACGTACACAAAATATAGAGCATGTGCAAGATTCCAAAGAATGTGTTTTATTTATTTATTTATTTTTATTTATGCTGATGCCACGTTTTCATCCAACTGATAGTTTAGGTTGCATGTTGTTGGACCACCAAAAAACATCTGTGACAAATACATCAACTTGATAGATGCTGAGAGGAATTTTTAAGGACAATCTATTAACGTAGCCAATAACGTGTTTTTAATATATTGCCTTCAGTCA